AATATGTTTAGTCAATATTCACATATGAAAAAACACAAAGCAGCACCTTTCCTTCTGGATAGTTTAATATTTTTTTTCCAAGATATTCTAATAGCCCCTATGTGGGCAACACACAAGCATTATGGAAATTCCTTACTGGAAAACATAAAGGTCAAAATAAACACCTAACTCTAACTCACTGTTTGGGCACTATGCTCCTCAACCCGCAGACATGCACTCGCCAACAACACAATCACATCTGTTGGTGAGGTGCCCTGAGTAGCAGCCTAAGAGGGGCAATGGGAGATGAGAGGCAATGTCACACAATGGTGACAGCTACACAGTGCGGACTTCCCAGGCACTTACCACTGGCTGGAACATTCAGGGACTTTGATTATGGTTTATTTCAGCAAAATGCAAGAAAATGAACACGGCTTTCTCTCTCTGTTAATGGAATTTGCGAGTAGTGGTTAGAGACTCGGTTTCCAAGAAAAACACATTTATCTTAATTTCTGCAAGTCAAGGAAACCAAGCGGTCTAGGAGGCTTTGGGCTTTGGGGGCCCCCACCACACATACACACGGACAGGCGCTCCCCCTCTCCCCTCCCCGGGAGCCCCCAGTCCTCAGCCTCAGGTGGTGCCCAGTGGTCCCCATATCTGTACTGCTTTGGAGGAGCAAAAGTTTCCCATGCCTCGACAGACAGCAGGCACTGGTTTAATCGGGAAATGAGGCCACTGCCCGGGCACAGGGAACACAAAGGGTGTGATGTGAGAAGGCTCCCAGCGGGTCAGAGAAGGGGACTGACGGACAGACAGGGAAGGACATGCCTGGATTTCAAAAGACAGTGGCCTTTGGAGTCACACATGCTGTGTGTCCCACCCCCACCCCAGCTTGCTCACTGCTGGCCTTGGAACGGAAACCCCACAGCAGAGGATGGCGCACTAAACGCATGGGACTTGTAAACCACAGCTGCTACACCCTAATAATTGTTATTCAAAGGGCCCTGACCTTCAACTGCTACTGACAGTCACTTAATAACAATTGCCCCCCCACACACCACCATCACCCAGAAACCCTTACTTTTAAGAGTCACGTGGTACTGAGGGCATCTAACCAACAAATGTGACCGAATTGTGCCCTGACGTTGGTTTCTAAACCACACACAGCACAGCAGAAAACACAGCCATTTTCTATAATCCTCTGTTCAGAATTTCCCTGGGCTGAGATGCAAACATCATCATCATCAGAAGAGCAGCGAGCCAGCTGCTGTCAGGAGCCCAGCTAAGGCCAGTCAGCCGGTCACCAGATTAGGGTTTCAAAGGTCAGAAACACAACGCCTCAATGCCCACTGCCCTCCACCGCCCAGCCCGAGGCCTGGCCACCCGGTCATTCACTCCATCCTGCTAGAAGGGCAGGACCCAGCCATTGCTGGCCTTGCCTCAGGCAGTAGGGATCCCATGTGACACAGGTATAATACGTCCTTACTGTCTAGAAATGAGCACGAACCAGAACAACCTATAGGAAGGATACCATCATATGTCAAAGAATCACAAAGGCGGCATACAAAGTGCCCAGGCCACTAGGAGGACCCACTCAGGACCCAGCCCTCCCAGGAAAAGCAGGACCTGTGGAAAGACATTCCAGGGGGTAGGCTGCCCAGGAGCACTGCGCCCCAGGCGTGGCAAGCCAGCTTGCATCACCCCACGTCCTGACACACCCAATCTGCAGAAAATTCCTCCCAGCTATGCAATCCACGGAATCAACCAGGGTCTTCAGCAGCACGTGAGAGGAACCTGTCCCCGCAATGCTCGTGGAGCTCCTGTGTCAGGTGTGAGCAGGGCACCAGGGAGGAAGACGAATAAAGGCCCTGCCCTCACAGAAATCCCAGTCTGGTTGGGCAGAAGTAACAGACAAACTTCATGGCCAAGTGGACCTAAGAGATCACCTCATCCTGAGACTCGCTCAGGGCCACAGAAGTACCTTGTGACAGTGATGGGTCCCAGTGCCCAGCCCAGCCCCCCGCCCATTGCCCCCAGGGAGGCCCTGCTCCCCAGGAACTGAACTCCCCTAACTTGCCAACTCCATGTTCCTCTACAGGCACACTTCTACACCTTGAACTAGAGAAGACTCCAAATGGACAATGAATACTTGATTTTTTTTTTAAGTTTTATGTTAACATGAAGTCATCTCTGAGGAAGTGGATCATGGATTATTTCCTTTCTGAGCCTCCACTTTTGGGGGTGTGGAAGGGAGGGCTCCCCTTCAAACCTCACCCTCATTACAGGTTCCTTTGTCTGGGGAGTCACACCACCAGTACCACCCCCCATTTGAATCCCAACACTGCCACCTACTAGCCAGGTGACCTTAGGCAAGTTACACCTCTGCGCCTTAGTTTCCTCATCATAAAACGGGGTAATAATAGTATCTATGTTTACTATTTATTATGAGGATCAACTAAAGTAATGCTTGGAAAGGTAATGGCCTTTCTAGATTCCTCCTAAGCTCTGGAGTTAAGTGTTGCTAACTAACTCTCCAATATTTCTAATTGGAGGTATGACCTTGAAACATTCTGAAATCACCATGTCTAGATCACATCGCGTTTTACCCTCCGAGAGTCGGTTCCTATAGTGGAATCACCACTGTCCCTATTCCCCAACCTAAGCTTCACATCACCGTAGATGTTCCTCCTTGCTTGCTAGCTCTCCTGTCTATAACCTTCTGTTTAATTCCAGTGCAAACTGTCCAACACCTAACTGTTCTAAATTGGAACATAAACCAACTTCCTAAATGGAGATTATATAATAATTCTCACAAATGCTTCAATTCTGTGTGTAAACACAAGGGGGGGGGGCAAACAAATGGCCTTCTCTGTGTCTGCTCTAAATTTTAGGATGGGCTGAGCAGTCAGCTCTGATGAACACAGGGTCTCATCCAACCCTTTCAAGGCAGCTCAGTTCCTTTATTTTTCAGATGAGGGGAGTTCCAGGTGAAGGCTGAGGGCAGTAACACAACTGGACCGTATATGGCTTTCCTTTTCCTTCCCACTCTACTCCAAGCCGAAATGACAGCAACAGATGGCTGCTGGAACCCAGAAAGGTCTTCGGCATCAGGGAAATTAAAAACACATACCAGTCCCCCAAGGGTGGGCGGGGAGAATGTGTGTGGCTCTGAGGTATGTATTGAATTGTTGGGGGTACCTCCAAAGCCCCCTTAGGTAATACCCCCCACCAGACACACCAATATTGAGAAGCCACATCTAGGTACAGAGCACAACGCCCATGGGAATGTCACAGGCCCTCTCCCTATATTCAGGGATAGAGCTAAGTGGGGACCGGATACAGCCGTATCTGAAAGCAGAGGTCTTAGTCTAACGCTTCCTTGCTAAAGGAAAAGGGATTCTCACGTAGACATGATTTGCTCAAACCCTTTTTGAAAACAGGCTATCAAAGCTTGGGCAACAGTTCGGCTATGTACAACAAAACCCCAGTCCATTAGGCTCTAGCACACGTAGAAAAGATTCACGGGCAACTGCTGTGTGTCATCTGGCCATCAGCAACCATGAAAGCTACAGCAAACGCTGAAATAGAGGAAAAGCCTTAAACCTGTTAGGCCAATACACTTTTCTAGAAGATTGAGTTTAACCATTACTTTTCCCATTAAAACGGAGTGAGACTGGGTAGAAGGTACACAGCTCCAAGGTAATGGTTGGCAGGCATTCTCTGACTCATGGTGCCGATCGCTCGGAGGCAGAGGGGAAGGGAGAAAGCATGGACGCAGCAACTCTGCGCAGACGTGCTAAGTGTTAAAACTTACGAGCTATTTCTGTACAGTAAGTCCCTAAGTGGGCAAAATCTTCTCCATTTTGCACATGAGAGAGATCAGATCAAAAGAGCAGGTCACTTTTTTTCTTGCCCTAGTTCTCAAACGTGACCTGGCAACAGCACTCACTATCCACAGCCAGGATGAACAACAACATTCTAGGAAAGACCACATAAAAAAAGTCAAAAATGAAACAGGATCTCCCCCTCTAAAAATAGAGACAAAACTCTTTCTCAGTCTCCAGACCAATGAAAACTCTCCCGAGGAATGTGACTACATAACTAATTCACACATTTTGCTAGTGACCACCTTCCTTCCTGAAATCAGGGGAAAAACAACTCAAAGTCGCACAGCTTTCAAATGCAGGTGTTAAGAACAAGCACAGTTAAATCCTCAAGAGTCGTCATAGGTTCCTTGACTTTCACCAAAGCAATGAAACCAGTGTTGCCATAGGCTAATTGCTATACACAAGGTTCCTAGCATCTCACCAATGTTACAATGAAACTTCAGTTGTTTTTAATGGAGGACCAGCTGTATAGTCAGCCCCGCTTAACCATGGGGATGTGTTCTGAGAAATGTGTCCTTAGCACATTTCATGGTAGTTGTCCCACCATCACAGAGTGCACTTACACAAACCTAGATGCCTCCCATTTTCTCAGCACCCAACACTCCTAAGCTGCTTCCATGTAAACACTATCTCCTGTGCTGATTCGTACCACTGATTTGTACTCCCCGGAGAAAGGGCCCACCTGGGGCCCGGGAAGCTGTGGGCTCTGGGGCGCGCCCTGAAACCCAGGCTCCCCGCGCCGTCGCCTGGGCCTGGGCCCCCGCCCGCAGCGCAAGGTGCCCCAGGGCGGAACTGGCAGTGCCCGGGCGGGGGGGCGGCAGGGGCGCCGCTGCAACCCGAGCTGCTGTATTGACCTCCCCGCGACACTGTGCGGTTCCCATTTCAGACAAGTCCACTAAGGCAGGGAGCTCGCCAAGCCCAGGTCAGCGGTCCCGACGCCAGGTGGCCCCGGGGAGGCCGGGAGAGTCGTGACCGAGACCCCCTCGGGGGCTGCCCCCGCCAGGGTGAGCGCCGGAGCCCCACCAAACCCTCGCCCGCCAGCCCATCTCGTTCCCTGGCGGCGACAGGTGCGCGGCTCGCGGAGCCCTGGCGCCGACTCGGGGAAAGTTTCCCGGGCCGTGGCGCGCTGTTTACCATCTCGTTTTGCAGCTCTGGGGCTCGGAGCTATCCGGCCGGCCCAGCCATTGAAACCCGACACGCTGGGAGGGGCTGCGGAGCGGCGAGGGAGGCGGGCGGGCTCCGGGCCCGGCTGGCCGCGGCTCCCCTTACCTGCGGCTCCGCCGGCCGTCCCAGCCTCCATGCTCCCGCTCCCCCGGCACTGAGCCCGCCCCCGGGCTGCTCAATTTCACCTCCCGGTCTCCGCCTCCCCGCTGCTCCCGCCTCCGCCCCTGGGGCTGGCCGGATCCTTCCCTCGGGGCTGCCCCGGTCCCAATCCCCTGAAACTGCTCTCGCATTGTACCCCTTGCTGTCTCTACCGTTCCCCCGGGGCTGCTCCTGTGCCCTTCCCGCGGGTCCCCCTCTCCCTTGCTCCCTGCACTGGGCCCACCACCACGCAGTCTTCTTCGCTAGCGACCCCTGGCGACCCACTTTGCAAAGCAAGCTCGCCACCTCCAAGAAGTATTTAATCCCTCTTAATGATTTGGAAAAGAAATCTATTCGCACCCCCACCCCTTGCCAGTGTCGCTGGGTCTGGCCTCAGCATCCCCCTTTCCGTGCTCTTTCCCACTTCCATCTATAGCTGCTTCTATGGACAGAAAACGTTTGCATTGCCCCTTTTTGAAAACGTCCACAGTTGAAATACGAAATTTTTCACAGGTGAAAAATGAAAACTGAATGGCACACCCAACGCAGGACATCCGGTAATCTTTTCTGCCCATTCCAAAGTCTTTTCATCTGCTCCTGACAACTGTAAAGTGGCTGCTTTTACTGATAACTAATACCTTTATTTATTAAATGTGCAAGCTTATACCCACTTGGAAACTGCAAAATTCAACGTGACACAACTGTTTCTCTAGTATTTCTTTGGCCTATTTCAAGGTGTTTTTTGCAGGGGTGGTGGGAGCAGGGGTGGTGTTAAAATGCCAACAGCCTTGGAAACCAGAGGCCTGTGGTCAACCAGTTGGCACCTCCCACCTTTGGTTGGCAACTCTGAAGTCTGTGCTTTTGGATGGGTCCCCTCAAGTGCATCCTAAGCCCTTCTGGGCCTCTGTCCCAGGTTGGGTCTGGAGCTCATCTGCTTGCCTGTCCCTCCATGCTCACCCCATCTGTGTGTCTTCTTTCCACCCCCAGCAAACAGTGTCTTGGGGGAGCTTCCCAGATGCTCCGACCTGAGGAAGACCAGGGCACCCTCATGCAGAGGATGAGAAATGCCCCCCCCCCTTACTACCTCGGTGCTGGAGGTTCCCCTTAGAGACACCCCGGAGGCACCTCTTGGAAGTCTGAGATTTCATTTTCTACAGTGATGGCATTATGGCTCTTGTTTTATTGACCAGTTTACTATTTCTACAATTTATCACACTACTTTAATTACCATAGCTGTATCACTGTTTGGATATCTGGGAGGACAAGCCCTTCCTTATCAAATATTTGAACCAACTCATTAAGGAAATAGCACGTGGTCTTGAACATCAAATTGCATAGCACTAATATCTTTAAAGTTTTTAGTCTTCCCATCTAAGAACATAAGCACACCTAAGTTTATTTAGGTCTTTTATGGGGTTTTTTGTTTTTTGATTTTTGGCTAAAGTTCTAGAGTTCTTACAAATAGATCCAATACATTTCTCGCTAGGTTTATTCCTACACATTTCTGATATTTGTTGGCTATTCTGAATGGGCTATTTCTTTTTCTCCAATTACATTTTCTAATTGGTCATTACTGGTATATAAGAAAACTATTGGCTTGGGTATATGCCAGTCTCATATCCGGCCACTTTGATGAGGCCCAATAGTTTTAAAGGCAATTATCACAGATTTGCTAAGTAGACAATCAGATTGTCTGAAAATAAGTTGTTGGACTTCTAAAGCTCCCTCAAGCCTACTAAGTCACTTAGCACTCACTTCTGACATTAACATTGCTCTTGACTAACCAAGAAAAAAAGAAAAATATCTATATATGCATACCGGAAAATAGGGGGCCCACGAAACTCAGGAGCGTGTTTTCAGCACGGCCTTCTCTTTTATTCCAGGAGGTCAGTAAGCACGCTGCTGTGCCCTCCATCTGGCCTCATTTATCTACACAGGCATTTCCTCTGTGTTAAAAACACAACTGTTGTAGCCATTCCCAAGGTATTTGTGAAATTTGAAAGAAAAATCCAGTATTTAGACAATAGAGCTAGCAAGCTACTGGGTTTTAACAAGTAAACAAATGCCTATTGCAACGGTTGTTAATTTTCAGTCAAAGAGATGTATTCCTTAAAAAAAAAAAAAGATCAAGGCTTATCAAAAATCGACAGGAAAAAATATAAGACAGAAAAAAAATATAGGTAAACCTTTCTCCTATAAATATAGGGACAATAATACCTTATGCTGTATCACTGAAAAATACTAGAAATTTTTAAACACTAATTTTCAAGCTATTATTTCATAATTCATACATGAAGTTATAAAACTAGGATCTTCTATACCAGTTTTCCATGGAATGTCGAAGATAATTCCAGCATTGTAATATGGTCTCTAAAATACCAATTCCCCAATTGTTTTAAGACATTTTTAAATCGTTGTTTTAGAATGTTATAAAAGTCTCAAATTTTTAATGTTTGAATAAGTAAATGCCCAAAGCATTTGAGAGCTGTCCTTTAGGAGAAAGGTTAAAAACATGAATCTGTGGTGTTGGAAATCTCCAAAAAGATGAAGTGCAGCTTCAGGCTCCTTCCTTACCTGGGTGGTGGGGCAAAACCTCCCCTAAGACAACCTGCAATTACATATCCACAGGTGAGAAAAAGTATTAATTAATAACTGCTTCAAGTGAGCTAATTCCAGACTAGTAAAAATCATAAATAATCACTTAATCCTCATTTTGATTTTCATCATAATCTAGTACTCATTTAACAAAGATTTTTTTGTGTATATCGTAAGGTCACTTTACAGGGAAGGAAGAAGCTTTTGACTAATCTATTAATCAAATAGATTTAAGAGAGATTAGCAAGAGAAAATGACCCAATTTAATCACATACGTAAGTACGGGAACGCCACATACACAGAGAATCAGAGACCCCATATTACATGAGAGGTTCAAAGACAGAAAGGGGAAAATGAGGTGTGTGACATTCTAAGCTAAGGATCACCTTGGGGCTTCGAAGGGGAGGAAGGTCGCTGCCGGACTATAAAAAGAGGTGTTCAGTAATTAGAAGTTTGCCCTGTTATACAGATAGGTCCAAAAAAGGTTGTCTCTGATAATCTATTATGGGCAAGCCTCCTAATCCAATTCTTCTAGGTAAGGGGCAGAGGCAGAAGTTTCTCTTGAGCCTGCAGGGTCCTGGTTGCCTTCAGCTCAAATCAATTCAAATACCACAGAGGCACATCTTGGGGTGACTCGTTCTGAGCTCCTACGTCACCAAGCCATATCGAGTTCCCTACAGAAGAATAATTGTATTCTGGTGCAGGCTTTGGCAAACTACAGCTCACCACCTATTTTTGGACAGCCTGTGAGCTAAGACATTTTTTCTATTTGTAAATAGTTGGAAAAAATGGAAAGCAGCATAAAAAAAGACATTTGTGACACATGGCCATTACATGAAATTCAAAATTCAGCAGCCATTAATAACTACTGAAACATAGCCACGCCCATCATTTGCATATCATGGAGGGCAGCTTACATACTCCAAAAGTAGAGTTCAATAGTTGCAACAGAGACCATGTGACCCACAAAACCTAAAAGATCTGCGATCTAGCCCTTGACAGAAATTGTGTGCTGGCCCCTGTTGGAGGATTAAGCTGATGAGGCAAAGGAATAAGGGAGAGTGAGTCCCCAAAGACTACCCTGGTATAGTGACATTTTTGGAGAATCTGTGAATGCTTTGACAAGAGGCAGTGTGTGTGGCCTGAGTTTTATGTTTTATGGTAGAGATGAGAAGCTGATTTGGAAGCAGTGATATCTGACACAGAGAAGAGCTTTTATTAGTTGTTGTTGTTGTTATTATTTTAATTGCCAGTGCTTCTTGCTGACTGATTTACTGCTCCACCTCACAAAAGGAATTTGACCAGTCTGATTAAATTTCATTCAAGTGAGGTACACAAAATGTGTTGTAAGATAGCTGTTTGTGTCAGGGGCAATACACAAACCCTTTCACTCTCTTTTTTTGCTTAAGCAGGAAGTCACAACATGCCAATGAGAAATTTAAAACAAACCCCACAAAGTTCTAGGTTTGGTTCAAAACACGAAATATTTTAGGTCTTGGGATATTGTAATCTTGGCAGCCCACATGTGTCATCCCTGGTGAGAACACGTGTGCAGTGTTGCTTGCTTTCCGGTTCACTGAGAGAGAGTCACACCTTGCCCTCTTAATCCTGGAGTCAAATATGATTACAAATATTTTCCTCCCGGGAATCTCACTTGTAAGGAAGGTCTCTGTGCTTTCTGCTAAATAAAACATCTCTCTCTAGCTGCCTCATTCGTTCTCAGGCTTACTGTATTTCATCAGCCTAAGGATTGTATTTGACAACAGCAATTGTTAGAGACCATTTGTTTTTACAATGGAAGGAGAAATGAAAGTGCAGATGTCAGACCTTAAAATCCATACTTCTCTGGATTGTTTTCCTTTCAGAGAGAATGTGTGTGTGTGTGTGTTTCTGGATGGGGATGAATACAATCGTAGACAGGTCACTGTGGCTAAGTAAAAATATGTTATATATCTCTCATTTTCTTTTTCATTAATTGCAAAATTAGATGAAACTTTAGGACAAAAGAAAATAAGTGAATTTGGGGAAAGTGAAAACTCTAGAACACACTCCACTTTAAGTTAAATACAAAGGGCTCATGTCAAATCTTGGAGAAAAAAATTAAAATTGCAGCCTCGTTATCAGACAAGCAGCATCAGTGAAAACGGACAATCTTAGCAGTTGAGGGCTCTTTTCTTGAGGCATGATAAGTTAACCTCAGTACATACAGGCTACCAGACCTCATTAGTTGCTGTTGATACCCAAGTTTGACCTTAGAGGCAGCCAACTTTACAAATGTGGGTATTTCTAGTGGCCTACTCCCGTTTATAACTGTGATGGGCAGGCAAAGCCCTCCCGACAGAGCTAGGTAAGTGACATGACTGTGGGAGCCACAGTTCATCAGAGGGGGTTGAGAGACCATCAACAACACCCCAGGGAGCATGAGAAACTGGGTAACTGTTTTCAAGCTTGAATTTTTGTATTCTACTTTAACCTCAAAATAAGGTGAAGTGCAAAGCCCTCTGCATCCCCTGCAAAACAAGGTGGCCCCAGCTTCCCAGAGCAAGTGGGGGAACCCACTGGGGGCAAATGCCACTTCCCACCTGCTCTCTGCTGTAAATAAGCCTGCAGCCCACACCAGGGACCAATTAAAAGGAATGGCTGTTGGTTCAGCATCCCAGGAAGGCATCAGGTGGAGTCTAGCCCTTGGCAGTGATTCCATGACGGGTAGGGGGACTTTTTTTTTTTTAATCTTTATCAGGGGGCCAATTAAGAAGTTGGAACATCATGGTCACCCAGGGCACCCAGAGCTCCGGGAAGCAGCAGGTACTGGAGCTGCCCTACCAGCTTTCCCGGACCACACCCAGATGGGGAAAGAGAATTATGTTTTTGTAACTCTTATTAGACAGTTTTTTTAAAAATATATTTTCAGGGGGAAAAAAGGTGTTTTCTTAAAAATAGTATATTCTGAAAAATCAAGCTGTTGCATAACACGGCTTCTTTGGTAGAGAAGCTAGCCCCAAATGTTAGCTGTCTTGGTTACTCTGATACCGTTAAGAGGAGGAGGAATGCCTACAGAGCCAGGTGGGGTGCTGAAAGGACAGTGCCCAACATTTAGTGGCACTTGGAGTTGCTCAAGCACCATGTTAAGCACTTCGCGCAGGCAGAGTGGGAGAGTGACAACACAGCTTGGGGACCAGCGCAGACACCAGCTGTGTGTGCCTCTACCCTTTGGGGCTGCCCAGGGCTGGGGACAGTGCTTGGGACTCAGCGCTGTCATCAACCCCATGTCACAGAAGGGGGAGATGGGGGCACAGACACGTTAACTTGCAGCAGGTGCTTTCAACCAACAGTTCTAACCATAAATTTCATCCATGGTTTTTTTCTTTTAAAAATATATATACAGAGGGTGCCAAAAAGATGTATACACATTTTAAGAAAGAAAAACGGCACTAAAATTGTAATACTCAATATATACTGATAACAAAAGATGAAAACAAGTCACGTTTGACTTCTGAAATTACAAGAGGTGCTCAAAGTGGTTCCCATCAGCGTCCGGACACTTCTGATGATGGCGAACTACTGACCAAAGTGTCCATTTGTATACATTTTTCTGGCACCATGGTGTATACATTGCAGAATCCATTTCAAGAGCAACCAAATTTCACCAAGTCATAATGACCAAAGGAACTGAGGGACTCTGGGGCAGGACGGGAGGGAAGGGGGTAGATTACTAAAGAGGAGAAAACAAGATCTAAACAAACAACTGTAGGGTCATCCACCATCCTACTTTGCCCAGGCCTGTACTGGTTCCAGCATGTTAGTACCCCCCACCCCCCACCCCCCACAATCCCAGAAATCCCTTGGTGCAGACAAATGGGACAACTGGGCACCAAATTCATGACTCACCACACCTAGCAACAAACTGACCGAGACCCAAGTGGCCAGAAAGTCCCAGATGGCAGTGCTCTGTCCCTGTACTTGTCCGCTGCCCACAGTCTCTGCTTCCTGAGCTGGCTCTGCTTTTAAGGGCATCATCTTACCACCCTTCCCCCCCCCACACAAGGGTTCAGCCTTTAGGGGCCACCAGAATGCTGTGGGAGCCAGGCACTGGACAAGGCTGGGTGACTCCCCATAAAGCCCCGGTGGCCCAGCGGGCGGGGAGCCTAGTATTCAGAGCACCCAGTGTCCGGCCTGCACCAGCCATTTGACCCCCGAGGTGGAGAGGCACGCTCCCTGCTCCGGTGTCATGGAGCCCCAGTCCAGCTGCGTGGTGGTGACTGGTAAGACTATTTTCTGCTTCCTTCCTCATTTGCTGCTGCTCTTAGCTTGACCCTGGAATGTGTACTTGCCTGATCCTGGTGATAAGCAGTTTTGCCATGGAGAAAAAGAGTGGGAACTGGTGGTGCCAATAATTCCAGAGGGAAGCTAGCTTCCTGCTGTGCCCTATTAAAAATGATCAGGGGACACAGGCTTTTCTGCTTCTGTCCTGTCACTCACTTCAAATAATTCTTGAGTGGCATACACATAGGTGCCCACATGCGGCTTAGGCTCTGACCTTGTCCTTCAGCCTATCAGGGAGGAAGCCAAGGCTGGTACCTGTTGTCACTGAGTCTGGGGCCCAGTAGGCCCAGGTGGCTTCTACTGGGGTACAGTTTCCTAGCACGGAAGGAGGAGCTGGGGACCCAGAAAGGACAGGGCCTCATAAGGCTGGGACAGTCCATCTACAGTGACCGCCCTCCAAAGGCACACACAGCCCCACCCCCCAGACTGAAGAGCTTTTGGCCACTCGGAAAAGCCTAAAGCACCCCTGAGAGCCACCAGTTGAAGACTGAACCCCAAAAGGCCAACTGGGAAGGGAGAGTAGCTGCCCACTGGTGCTTTTCACCAGGAAATCCCAAATCCACGAGGCCACCGCAAGCCATTGTCAGCGCTGGCTCCCTAGAGGCTTTCCTTTCTTCACAAAGCTCTATTTTTACTTAGACACATTTGGCAGATTTTAAGCATTTTGAATTGTGCTGGAAGAAGGCAACAGAGGGGTTGCAAGGATTCCTGTGTGCATGGCAAATTGAAAGTTACCTATCTTAATGTTTCCAGACTATAATTAAAGTCCTCTTAATCTTCTGAGAAAAAGAAAGTTCTTTGGAGAACCTTTTATCTCCCTTGCTCTCTTTGTGTTATTTTGGGTAGAGAGGCTGAGTGGGTCAAATTACTCTTGCATTCCGAAGGAAACTGTACCCCCGATCAACGCCACGCTTGTCACAAGTGAAATGTGAATACTGAAATGCCATGGCAAGTCCCCGGTGCACATGGACCCCTGCCTCTGTCCTGTCAGCGTGCAGCTTGCTGGCAAACCCGAGATTGTTTGCTGAAGTGCCCGATAATCAGCCCTGATTTGGGGATGCCCACTGGCTTCCAGAGTATGGCCTGCCTTTATTAAAATGGTTTGGAGCTGCCAGGGGCAGTCTTTTCGTTTAATTGGATTTGCTTTGTGTATAAATCTCGCCAAGACAACTGGCATGAAGACAGATGGGGGAGAGCAGGGCTCTGACAAACTGCCTGGAGATCAAGGCACTCTGACTGGCACCAAGAATAATATCAGGGACTAGGAAAGCCTATATCCTCCAAAAAGCCTCTGCTGATTCCAAGAGAAGATTTCTCCGGCCTTCTGCGAGTTCTATGTGAGGGCCTGCTGAGTTTCAAGTATGAGGTGTGACCCTGCCAAAAAGAGCTTCACGCCTTCCTTTGCCCTATGTCTTTCCTATTTCACACAGGGAAGAGCTGATCTGAGGGTGCTGGTCTGAACAGGATTCTAAAGCAGAATGTGATATTTTTATGTGTGTGTCACTGCATTTTTAGTATTCCTACAGTCATCCCAGACAGAAGGTACCTGGTTTTTCAGTGATTTTTCCTCATTCTCAATATTTTCTAAAACTTTTTTTTTTTTTCTTGCTGGCTCTCCCAGTGGCAGCTATGGACTAATTTATTGTATAGGATTCAGTCAGTTCAGTGTCAGAGGACACCACTCACTTCCTGGTGTCTGGATACCCTGTCCAAAAGTCTCCATTCCCTGAGAAAGTTTAACCCCTTGTCAGCCACATCTGTTAGTGGTTCTAGGTTCAGGGGTTCCAGCATTTCAGAGGCACAATTCTCCCCAGAATGGCTTCTACTGCAGCCCTGAGGTCCACGGTGTTGGCTTTCAGAAGCTGATATTTAATCACAGATCTCGCCCGTCTCCGAATTTGTATGAGCTGAGAAACACGTCACAATAATCAGGCAGACTTAGTCAGGTCCTCAGCTGTGTTCCAGATAAACTGCGCTGGAGAATGCCACCTGTGTCTGCAGCCCACTGCCCACCATGAAGTGAGCCCCCCGCCTGTCACAGGCCATCTGACAGCAGCTGGCCTCCCCTCCCGGGGCCAGGCAGGGACCTGTGAGCTCTGAGCACAGGCCACCAGGAAGGAGAGATTCGGTAAGAAGCTCCATGGGCTTGGTCCCTCCTTCCAGCCACACCATCCCTGAGGCCTTGGGATGGTTCTTTCTGTCAGGCTCACTGGCCAGGGCGCCCAGATGTCTGCTTAAATAATTCCTGGGTGTGTCTGTGGGGATGTTTCCAGAACAGATTAGCATTTGAACGGTGGGCTCAGGGAAGGTGGTGGTTCTCCTCAACGTGGGCCTGAATAGAATAAAAACGCCCAGGAAGGCTGAATTCTCGCCTGCCTGGCTGATGAACTGGGACACAGGTCTTCTGCCCTCAGACTCACACCACCAGTGCCCCTGGTTCTCAGGCCTGGCATCTACCTGGACTGTGATTTACTCCGCCGTCTCTCTTGGGTCTCCAGCTGGCCGACGGCACATCTTGAGACTTGTCAGCCTCCATAATCACGAGCCAAGTCATCATAATCAATCTCTTTCTAGATATGTACATATTTGGAAAAGATAAATATATATTCTGTTTCTCTGGAGAACCCTGCCTAATACAGGTCTCTCTGTATTAGTCATTCTGGAGAGAAAAACAAAGGCCTAAAGAGCAGGTGAACAAAAGCTAAGGCCAGGATGCCCCTGACAATGGGCTCAGACCCCTGGGGGCTGGGCTGAGAAATGGTGACATGATGTGATGAGAGAGGATCAGAGCAGAAGAGGACCCAGCTGGAGCCCCTCCTACACCACATGGGGGGACAGTGGAGAAGGATTCAACATTTGTTTAGCACCCACCAAGTTCTGGGACTGCCTGCCTGTGCTTTCCATACATGGCACTGCTTAATCCATACAACGAACCGTCCAGGGCGGTACATGACTCTAATAATAAAAGGTGACACTGGACACTGCTTTTCATCCGCTAGGCAATATTCCACACACTGAGTTGTGTTCATTCATTTAATCCTTACAACCCTATTCAATTACTATAATCAGTCCCCATTTTACAGACGAGAAAACCAAGGCACTGAAGCTAAATAACTTCCTCAAGGTCAGCAAGCTGGTAAATAGTGGAGATGAGATGGAAAAGGTGAAGCCTGACCCCAAACCCTGAGCTGACGACCACTCTGGGCTGTCCCCTGAGCCATGGCCTGAGCTTTGCGGGGGCCGCTTCTTGGTGTGGGTGCCATGAAAATGAACAACTGAGAAGGCGACACTCTCAAATGTGGCCTCTCCCCAGGCCAGCAGGAAGCCTTTCCTAAGCTAGTCCCAGGGAGGGTTTGCTGCCCTCCCCAAAGCAAAAGTCTACAACATTTTATTAATTTATTAAAATTTTCATTGCAATTAGATTATGAACAAGTACACAGTGTAAATAGTGTTCCCAGTTCAAGGAATGAGTGAGTCCATCCGCAAACCTCATCCAGCAGGGGCTCTTGCTCCTTCCCAGAATAAGGGCTCCCCTATGAGGGCCTCCCTGGGGGTTCACCTTGCCCACCCCACCCCTACTGACGGCGGCTGCCCACCCCTTCCAGCTTCTCTGTCCCCTAACCCCCATAAAGTCCTGGCTCACCCCCACCTCCTCCAGGCATCTCCCCCACCCAGCCCTCCATCACCTGCTGTCTCCTCTTTAAGGCATCCTGACCCCAGTCCGGCAAAGCGTCGCCACTCCAAGTGTGGTCCCCAGGTCAACAGCATCAGCACCACCCAGGAGCTTGTCAGGTACACAGTCTCCAGACCCACACACTCAGATTCCATGTCTTAACAAGACATATGTGTGCATTAGCTGGACCAAACCACGCATTTAAATTTTTTTTCTTATTCTGAAATAATTTTATAGACGCACAGGAATTTACAAAGAAATGTATAGAATGGTCTCCTGTACCTTTCACCCAGCCTCCTCCAATGTTAACATCTTAAATATCAAAGCTGGACATTTACATCGGTATTGTGTGTGTGTGTGTGTGTGTGTGTGTGTACAGCTATATGCAGTTTTATCACACATGTAGCTTCATGACAGGCTCCTATGAACTACCACTTTATAGCTACACACCCCCTCCCCATCTCTACTCTTGACAACCATTAATCCGCTCTTCATCTCTATAAATAAATTACATTATTTTACAAATATTATGTAAATGGACTCAGGGCAGTATTTACCCTTTTGATTGTTTTTTTTAAACCCAGCATAATTCCCTTGAGCTTCATCCACGTTGTTATATGTATCAATAGTTCCTTCTTTAAAACCTTTTTTAACAGCTTTATTGAGATATAATTCACATACTATACAACTCATTCATTTAAAGTGTATAATTCAGTGGCTTTTAGTGTATTCACAGAGTCACGCATTCACTATCAAAATCAATTCTAGAACATTTTCATTACCCCAAAAACAAACTCCACTCCCCTTAGCTGTCGTCACTCCCTAGCTTTCCCGTCCCCCTCCCCCCCACCCACACACACACACATACTGCAGCTTTAGAACCACTGATCTACTCTCCGTCTTCATAGATGACCACTTCTGGACATTTCATACTCAACGAGATCATATATTACATGGTCCTTTGTGACTGGCCTCTTTCAATCAGCATAACGTCTTCAAGGTTCATTCACATTGTAGCATGTGTCAGTACTTTGTTTCTTTTTATTGACAAAGAACATTTCCTTGTATGGCCAGACCACATTTTGTTTACCCATTCATCAGCTGATGAACACATGTTGCTCCCAGTTTCCTTTTATTTCCACTGCTGGGTGGTGTTCCAGCATCTGGAAGAACCACGTGTGTGACCATCTGCCTACTGAAGGGCATTTGGTATTGGGTCGTCAGGAAAGTCATGATGTATTTTTCTATGTTTTTCAATGCAAAAATGCATCGTGACTTTCCCGACGCCCCAACAGTTTCCAGCCTTGGGCTGTCACCAGGGAAGCTGCTGTACACATCTGCGTAGAAGTTTCTATGTGAATGGAAGTTCTCGTTTCTCTCAGATAAATGTCCAGGAGTGCAAGTGGTGGGAAGTCCACTTTCAGTTTTAAAAGAAACTGTGTAACTGCTTCCCAGGTCAGCAGAACCATTCCACCAGCAACGGAACGTGAGCCTGCTTCTCCCTATCCTCACCAGCATTTGGCGTTACCGGCATTTCTGTGTTAGCCACTCTGCTAGAGGCATAGCGCTATCTCCTGTGCTTTAATCTGCACCTCCCTGATGCCTAGGGATGCTGACTACATTTTCATGGGCTGCTTTGCTGTCTGTGTACCCTGTTCGGGGAAATGCATCTTCATGGGTTCTGCCCATTCTAATCGGGTTGCTCTTTAATGTTGAGTTTTGAATGTTCTTTGTATTGTCTACATATAACGCCTTCGTCGGGTCTGTGGTTTGCAACTATTTTCACCCTCTCTAAGGGTCTTTGGCAGAGCAGAAGTTTTCATTTTGATGAGGTCCAGTTTATCAATTTTTACTTTTACAGATCCTATGTGCACTTGGTAGTAAGTCTAAGAACTCTTTGCCTAGTATTAGGTTTTCTCCCTTTCTCCCGCTAAAAGTTTCATAGCTTTACTTTTAACATTTAAGTCCATGATCCATTTTGAGTTTATCTTTGTGCAAGGTGCGAGACTCGCATTGAACGGCTCATTTCATTTTATTTTTTGCCTATGGTGTCTAATTGTTTCAGCCACGTTAGTTGAAACAGCTCTCCCTCCTCCACTGAATTGCTTTTGCACCTCCGTTAGCAAATTGGGCATATCCAGTGGGTGTATTGCTGGGCTCCCTACAAAGCATGCATTTTAACAGGACACTTATGCACACCTTCCCAAGCCCTCCTAGCTCAGTAGGGGTGGGCCCCCGTGTTCCTTTTTGGCTCCCCCACAGTGCCTCATACACAAGAGAATTCTGAGAATGCTCCCAGACTGCAAGGTTTCAGTCCTCCCCAAAAAAGGGGATATGTGGGTTCCCAGGGGCTCACAACAGCCCTGTGAGAACCTCACAACAGGTTCCCACAGGGGTGCAAGCCCTCCAACCCCCAACCAAGCCTGGCCTGAGCAAACCAGAATCTCTTTGGTTTCAGGTTTTGGGCCCTTCCGGCAGCACCTGGTGAATTCCAGCTGGGAAGCAGTGAAGGTAAACGCCCGCCATGCCCAGGAGCTCAGGGCCCAGCCAGATCCTTCTGTGGCTCTGAGAAACCCAGTGCAGGCCCCTTGGTAGCCAGACCACCAAGGAGGGGAGAAAACAACGGGCCCCTGGGAGAAGGGCTGGCTTCTGGTCCCTGGGTTGTTACTTGCCTGCACTCAGGTGGCCCTTTGTCTGTGTGGGAAAGAAAAGAGGCTAAAGGGACACTCCTGAGAAAGCCAGGCAGGCTCTGCTGTCCTAAGAGCTGAGTCCCATGGCCCCCAGCCCTGCTGGCTGTGGGGTCTCAGGAAAGTCACTTCCCCCACCTCCGTTTCCTCTTTTGGGAAATGGGAATAGTTCTGACGTTACAGGATGGTTCTGAGGAATAAAACAGGTGAGTATGTAAAAGAAGTGAGTATGTACATCCATAAAAGAAGCTTTTTTTTTTTTTAAGATTTTTATTGGGGAATTGAGGTGATGGGAACAGAGCTGGGGAATTGGGGGAAGGGGGACAGACAAGTTGCTGTCGTTTTGTTCTTCAGTCTTGTTGTGGAGGACGCTGCTCCACTGGCCCAAGTTGGCACCATCATTGCGCTCTTCCCGGGCAAGGCAGATCAATCGCCAGCTTCTGGACAGCTGCTCCACACTGGCTGCTGGCTACATACAGTAGCCCATGGCAACCCAGTGCCACAGGGGCTGCAGCCTACGCTGTCGCCGGCAACTCACGGCAGCCCAGCTCCAGGTTGAGCTGTTGTTCAGCATCTTAGCTGTGGAGGGCAGTGTCACTGGCCCTCATATGTGGGATCCGAACCGGGGCCCTCTGGTGTCCCAAGCCAGTTCTTAAACATTGCGCCACTCGGCCGGCCCAAAAGAAGCTTTTGAAAGTATCATGCCTGGCACGAAGTAAGCGTTTAATAAACGGTTATTACAAACAACACACCTCTATTTTTAAGAAAGAGCCGACCAGGAGAAAGCATGTCCTGCCTGGAACAGTACCTGAGGGGGGACTCAGTGAATCGCTAGCATGGACCACCTCTCCTGCTTGAAGCGGCTGACTCATAGCGTCCCCATGTGATGTTACTTAGAGACTCAAACACAGCTGGCTGTGTATTCACCCTTGACAGTCAATATCATGCCTCTGTCAGATCAAGCCACAGGTGGGATCTTAAGTCTGTTCTCAGAGTTGCCCCATCAAGCTGAAAACGCAGCAAAACCACCTGAATCCTGCATTTGCCTGGTAACACTGATTACAGCCTGTCCACACAGATGCAGGCAAGGAAACTTGCCACTCTAGAGTTAGAATCTGGGGCTTTTCCAATTAGCAAAAATCTCAGAGAACCCCGGACTCACCGCTATGCCTCACTGCTGCCCACAGCGTACCAGGAAGGCAGGTCAGGGCTTTCGAGAGCTCCAGGAGGGCTACAGCCTGTTCCCTGAAAAACAGGACTTTTCCTGCCAAATCCCAGATGGTCCTGAGCCCTCCTGTTTCTTTTTTGCTGGCATGAGGATGCAAGAGTCAGGCTGCCTGAGTTCACCTCTCAGCTCCAAAAGCTGCAACCTGTGGGACCCAAGACAAGTCACTCAGCTATTCTGTGCCTCTGTTTCCTTATCTGTAAAATGGGGAGGTTGTGATGATGATGGGAGTTAACACATGTAAAGCCCCTGGAACAGGGCAGGGCACACTGCCGGCACTTACAAACAGAATTCTCATTCCTAGGAAGCTCCTCCATCGGTCAGCCTTCTCAGCTATGGGCGAAGAGGCTCTGGCTTTGGAGATTCACACAGAAAATGGATGAGTGGGAGGATTATTCAGGATCTCAGACTCACGAAAAAAGCCTGAGGAGCAAGGCGGAAACAGAAAACAGGCTAGGGGATTCCCGGAAGTGGCAGCAGGATTCGGCCAAATAAGGAGAAGATGGCCCAGGAGTAAAATAATTCTAACCCAAAGCAGATTCTGAGAAGTGCTGCATTGAGACGCAACTCAGTTCACTGTGGAAAACACGTGGAAGAAAGGAACCTGAAGTAAGGTGACAAGAAACTGCACCTGGGAGGTCCCTGGTGGAAGCACCTATGATGCATGGGCTGACTTCTGGCCAGCGGGAGTGAACTCCGAAGCTGCCATGTGCTGGGACCACACTGGGCGCCTTAAGCAGAGCTGCTCACTGAATCGCTCCTGTGGCCCAGAGGAGCTCACATTCATTCCCATTGTGCAGGTGAGGAAGTGACAGCTCAGGCAGGTGACTGTCTGCCAGGGGAGCACGTGCCATGACAGCAGTGCCTAGACTCCAGTCTCAGAAGGTCCTGGGGTGACTGAAGTCCGGGTTCAACCCACTTGCCTCACTCTTCCCCTGGGAGAAGACAACCTTTGGTTCTGAGGAAGAGGACCACCGAGAAATATCAGTTCCCACGACCCAATGACCCAACGGAGAGCAAAGTGGGGCTAACACCCACATGCCTCAGCCCCACGTCCACGTCATCATGGCTGACCTCCTGCCAGGAGATCATCTCCACACTCTCCACAGCTCTCCTGCCCATGCCTGAGACAGGACAAGGTAACAGGCGGCTGCTCAGGCTTCTGCGTCACAGTGGACCACAGAGTTGATGACCAGAGCAACTGAGAAGCAGCTGAGGATGAAGCAGTAGCTTCCCGGGCAGGCGGGCCCAAGCCTAGCTCCCAGGCCCCAGCACTCTCTGCCACCCCAGAGTGCCTTCTCCACTGGTCCCTGCTATCCGTCTCCAGCTTCTGCACCCCGCTTCTTTGTGGGGTTTTTCTTCAGGGCAGAGTCACTCTCCATCTCCTTAGAGGCTCCTTCACTCCCAATCAGGACCATTCTCTCTTCCTGGACCATCCTGGGTCTTCCCGTGTCCTGTGCTACCACATCTGTCGATTCCACTCAGCGATAGACTTTCTGATTCTGGTTTGGGACCGCACTAGCTGTACCCACTGAAAACAATGGCATGCTGCCAACAGAGCATCCATTGTAGGGATAATCACCTAAGTGAGGCATTGGAGCAAAGGTCCGGGCTGATTCACGTACATACATTTGACCCGGAAAGGGCACACCGCTCCCTGGGTCAGTATAAGCACACTCCGTCTTTGGGGACCTGTACCAATGTGTTCCTGTTCCCACAGAAGGCCTGACCAGAACCAAGGGTTTCAGTGGCTATGTGTTGACCAGACAGATGCATGAAAGTCATTTTTTTCTATCCTGCATTCTCCCATCAAAAGTCCACCTCATCACCACTTTACATGTGTCACAAGCCACATGTAATGAGCACTTATTCCTCCACGCCAGACGTCGTAAGTGGGAACAGACAGAGTTACAGACAGTGAGGAAAGAGTGCCATTCTACACTCGCAGCATTTGACCTCTAAGAGAGAGAAGCTGCTAACAAGTACCATATTTCCCCATTTTTAAGATGCACCTTTTTTCGAAGAATTTGGGGGTCTAAAAACTAGGTGCATCTTATACAGTGGTTGTAGATTTCAAATGCCATAGATGGAACTGAGGACGAGGCAATATATGAAGACAGTGATTCGTCATTAGACACAGATCGAGGACAAGCTAATGGTTGGGAGTTTTGACAGTGATAGGAGTTGTATGAATTTTATGATGAATAAAACTTGAGTTCAATAACTTTATGTAATATGTATTTTTTCAAATTTCAGGCCCCCAAATTAAGGTGCATCTTATACATAGGGAAATACGGTAATCACCTGAAAGCATTGTTTGCTGTGGTTAACTCTTAAATGAGAAAAGAGTGCTTTAAAAAGAAGACAAAGACGTAACAATTATATAAATGCCAAAAGTTCACAATAAAAAGAGGCATTTCCTGCAAACTCCCAGGACTATGCCTCCATGCTGATCACCAACAGCACACACATGCCACCGTGACACTGCCCCGGCCTCCCCAGTCACAAGTCTCATTTGGCGACTCGGGCAGCGGCTGCATCATTATCTCCTGGTTCCCTGATTCTCTGCTTTTGGAGCCATATCATCCCAAAAGAAAGGATGTCCTGAGCGCCTCTAGAAGTGCCTGAGCCTGGAAAAGCAGCAAATAAAACAAGTTTGGAAAACACACCAGGGGTCAGTTGGGCAAGACATTATGTAACTGCACTTAACCCCAGCCGGGTGGCCAAGCGGTCAAGGCTCTTGCCAGGTTTGGTCAACCCGAGATGCACGACAATTTCTCTTTACTCCAACAGTGAGGTGGCCTCATTTCTTTATGATGTGTTGCTTTCAAAATCATAATGATAGAGAATAAAAGGCAGTGGATCTGAAGAGCTGAAGAAGCACCAAGCTGAAGAGCACTTTAAGGTGAAGGTCCTGCAGACCACGCCCAGGGACAGGCAGGTAACTGCTTACCTGTCCAAGTTCATTGTTTCTTTGGCTTCATCTTTATTTGCCTTCCTAAGGGGACCTATTCTCCCACCAAATCCCAAGATAAAACCTTTTTCTAACATAGGTGAATACAGACATGTACGTGACAGACATTTTTTCCAACTTAGCCCACGGTGGGTTTTGTTTTGTTTTCTTGGGTAATATGGGAAGGCCTGAGATAAAAATAACCAGCGTGAGGATGAAGAGAGAGCCCCAACATCCCTCTGTTGTCTACAGGAACCTCACCTGCTATCGTGAGCCAACCTCCGTGGGCTGAACGGACATTGACCTCTAAGGCCCGATAACCCAAACTCACTTAAATGAACCATTTTCCATGATTTTTTACACCTTCTTTCGTCAGTCTGAGGTTCAGACAATAATGCTGGGCACTCAGTCTCTAGGGCTTAAGTTTGATGTCTTTTCTTGATTACATACTCTATCGGCATGGGAAACACTCTGGCCTGTTTATCTTTGTAGAGTCCAGACAGGAATCTTGAGGGCACTAGGGCTGTATTTGTGCTGCCATAAATACGATGAAAACATATCTTGCAACACACACAGTCTAACACCAGAGACAAGTACACAAACAAGCATGACCCTGGGAATCACGCGGGATACTCAGGGCAGCGGA